GCTGGGGTAAAATTAATATAACAGCCTGAGCCTAATGTGTTTAACTTGATTGAGATTAACGTCCCTTTAACTCGCTCTTTATACGTGATGAAGCAGCGCTCTGGCAGCCGCTCCAGCACATCCGGGTGACTATGGCTTGAATAACAAAGCATGAAGGAGTGAACATGATGGGTGGAGGATTCCAGATGTCCTTAATTAGTTTTGGAGTATTTCTGGGCGAAATGTTATTATTATATAGGAGAAAAGCACCACAGTATACACTACTCTATTAGAAAGATACTCAAGGTTTCATCAGCTTCTTTTGTATTAGCTACAGAGAAAATGACAGTTTGAAGTTATGATAAGCTGGTCTTCTGTTTTGCTTTCCTCTACTTTAGCTCGACATCCTTAAGGAGTACCAGAATGCCTTTTCTCTGAAGTCAAGCACATGTAATTATTTTCTTATTAAACTTGAGAAGAAGGAAGAGTTATTTCTGGCAGTAAGGGTCAAGAAGGTGACTCGCCGTTGGAGCCTTTTCAAGGGTTGGATGGACATGAAACTCTCCCGGATGAATCAGCGGTACAAAAGATGAGCACTGCACTTTATCTTTCATAAAAAGTCAAAGATACAAGGTTGTGTAATAAATTCACCATGACTCTAAAGGAGCATTGTGGTGAAAAACATTCAAACACCAGTGTTGTGTCTCGGATACTTCATCCATGTAGTACACTGTGTGCACTATGTACTAACTTGAGAAGTCAAATCCCTAAATGGATCATTCTGAGTACTTTTGGTATTCTAAATGTATTTGGTGCTAATACTCCTGTACTTTTTTGTACTTTTTCTTCTTTTAATTAAGATTTTGAATGAAGGGCTTGTAACAGCGTATTTCTAAACTCTTGTGTTAAGTAAAAGATCTGTGTGCTTTTTTCACCCCTGCTGTGATCCATGGTTACTACAGTATTTACCAGACTTAACTGACAGAAAACACATGAACTCTCAGAACCTAAGGTGACACATTTATGAACTTTCTAACATCACATAGCTGTAGTATCGTATAATTGTTAATTAAAGCATGCAGGAGACTCGTGTTTGTGTTTGAATGATTCACTCAATTCACTCAAACATCCTAAAGCTTCAATGAAGATATGAAACAGGCTGATACAAGAGATGATTTCAATTACTTTAAAAGCCAGCCGCGATACCAATGTAAACCCTGCTACTGCTGATTGACCGAAGCTAAGCAGGTTTTGTCTTGGCCAGTACCTGGATGGGAGACCCCCTGGGAAAACTAAGTTGCTGGTGGAAGTGGTGTTGGTGGGCCAGTAAGGGGCAGTCTTCCCTCTGGTCCTAATAATAACATCCCAGTGCAGAGATGGGGACACTGCGCTGTAGAAACTGCCATCCTTCGGATGAGACGTAAAACCGAGGTCCTGACTCATTGTGGCCATTAAAGATCCCATGGCACTTGTTGCAAAGAGTAGGAGGTTCCCCGGTGCTGTGGCAAAATTCCCACCCTGGCTTTCTCCATCTGGCCATCTAATCATCCCCTGCAGTAATTGGCTCAATGTTTCTCTGCCTCAAGCTGATGTGGGGTGAGCGTTCTGGCGCTAAATGGCTGCCGTGCATCACCCAGGTGGGTGATACACATTGGTTGAGGTGAGTCCCCCCCACTTCACTGTGAAGCGCTTTGAGTATCTATGATGAAGCACTATATAAATGTAATTCATTATTATTATAATAATAATAAGGGGGAAAAGTCAATGTTAATAGTAAAGCACATAAAGAGTCTCACTGCTGCTGCTGCTGCTGCTGTTGCTGATGATCCTAACCATTACCTACATGTAGGCTTTTGAGCTGAAGATGCAATTACTACATCCATGCAACAGTTCAGGGCTTGCAGACAGAAAATAAAGGCTGCCTTAATTGCCTGTGTGTGTGTGTGTGTTGTTGTAATGTGAGACGTGCAGGTGCTAACCTAGCACGTTCCCATCATTTCAATGGGTAATTCCCCTTAAATGAAGAGGTCTGCCGGTTTCAGTCCTTACTCCTTCTTCTCAAGCTCCGAACCACCTTGCCCTCTACTGTGAGAGCTCTGTATTTATTTATATACATTTAAGCTACGAAATCAGTTTGTATACGGTTGGTGTTTGTTTTGACTTACTTGCTTATTTGGTTAAAATTTTATGTACAAAAAAAGTGCAAGTTTTATTTATTTTTATGCCTAAACGGTGCTCCCTACATTAGTGTTCTCTGGAGGCATTTTTAATTTAAGTGGTGCAAGATCTGTGTGGACAAGCACTAAAAATAGTTATGTTATATCAATTAAAGTCCAACGGACCACACACAGGCAGTTAACCAGCTTGGGGGCCGGCGTTTTAAGCTCTTGTTTCGTCCCATCAAGGACTCGGGTGACTCTGTCTGTTACTCCGTGTTGATTCATTTCCTCCGGATCTATCAACAGAAATATGTCACATAAATGAAGCTAAAGACGCTCTAGTTTCCATTTCTCTGTGACTTTAACAGCACAATGGCTCCTTCCAAATGTTGAATGCTGTAAAGGGACAGGTGCAATAAATCGACAGATGTCTTCGTAGATGACTAAAGGCATGTGTGCTTGTTGTAAAAGGGAAAAAATTGTCTTCTACCATCTCTCAGATGTCACCCGACTTCCTGAAGCTAAGATATGTCCAGCCACACTTCTTTGAAACATGGAAATGTATGCACAGTAGCCGCAGTCTCAATAAAGTTATTTGGAGAATATTTCTCTACACAAAAAGTGAGGAGAATTCAAATATCAGTTTGACTTTATTATTTTCATTATCGATTAATTATTTTCTCAGTTAATCAAGTGAGGGTTTTGTCTTCAAAATGTTACAAAATTCTCCATTCTCCATTATAAAATCAAAGAGCATAATTGGCTTCAAATTGCTTGTTTTATCCTACCAACATTTTTCATATTTTGGAGGAAGGTGGAATGAGAGAACGTTTGGAATTTTTGCTTTAAAATGACTGAAACAATTATTCAGTTATCAAAATCAAAAACTAACTTCATGATTGTGAGACTTTGGTGCCAACTTCCCGTCCTTGCCAGTAATTGATATTCTGACATACAGTATTTCAGTCAGTCTGAACAGTATTGAGGTTCGATACCCAGCCCTCGCTGCTACAGCTGACCGTGCCTGTCACTGACATCACTCCTCTCATCTGCCCATCCTTTCATCCACTTCCTCCCCAGCAGCAGTCAGAGGAGTCTCTGTTCAGCTGTGTCTTCCAGATGGGGCTCGCTGGGCTGCCTCACAGCCCCGCATACAGTGCGGAGGCAAGCAAAAATCCATCAGCTCCCCCTGTGACTCCATCGCTGACAACATGAAATATGGAGCGTGATGTTAGCATCAGATGTGAAACAGGCTCACAAGGTCATAAACCTCAGTGGCGTCTAAAGCGTCACTCTACTCCTCCTTCAGCCGGAAATCGTCCTCGTGCCTGATTTCTTCTCAAACGATCTCGCAACACAGGTGACACATAACCTGAGGTGGTGAGGTGAGCGGATATGTTAGACATTAAAGGTAATGATGCCAAAACATGATCCTCACTTCCCCACCCTGCTCCTTTGTGGAGTTCCGCGACCTGCAACCTGAGCACAGGTGAGGGTGGAAAAGTAAGTAATCAGTAGGATGGGTCTTTCGAGCAGTGATGGAAAGAAACTAAGTACCTTTACTCAAGTACTTGATTACTTCTATTTTCTGTTACTGTATACTTCTACTCCACTACATTTTAGAGAGAAATATTGCAATTTTTACTCCACTACATTCACATGACAGCTGGAGTTACTAGTTACTTAGCATGTGATAGGATTATAAATACAACACGTGATTTTGAGGCTTGTGACACCTAAAATCAGTGTGCGTGTTTGGGGCGTTTTAACAACTTTCAGAGGTCTACAAGACATATTTCCCCTCTAAACTTATAAGATAGTGTACTTTAAACAACCATTTGAGGCCCAGAGACCTAAAATGATCCGATATTTCATATCTAACAGCAAACTAATTTATATAAATGTTTGTAGCATAACTACTCATGACCCGTTAGATTTATCTGGTGGCCCTGTGGAGGGGCCCAGCTCTGAAATTGGGGATCACTTAACTAAACAGTATATCAAGTAATTGACTTTTCATATTGTTTAAACTGCTACTTTTGCTTCAGTAAATGATCTGAGTACTTCACTGCTGCTTTCCAACCTTCACCAAGATATAGATATGAAGATGAAATTAATCTACAGGGTTAGGATGTGTTTTTGGTCATGTAACATTGCCACTGAACTGTTGTTCCTTCTTGTCATGATATTTAAGGCTTAAAAATGTATTAAAGCTGGTTCTTATAAGGAGAAACTAATCCTTAATGAGCTTTTAATTGCATGTTACTCTGAATCCACTTTGCTGCAGCGTTCAGTGTCACACAGGAGGCTCACGAGTCAAAAGTTTTCTTTCACCTTGCACAACTGTTATCTGAGAATGTGGCTACATGTAAAACCCAGTCAACTGGTAAAGGCAGAGACGGCGGGATTTGAAATTACGCACGCGTGACGCGAATAAAAGGACTCAAAGTGAGCAATGATTGACAGTCGCGTGCCACAAGAGGAGCTGCTGTCATATACGCGCGTCAAACCCAGTCTGGCCTTGGAGGACGCAGGTGGACCCAGTCTGTGAACCGTGGCCGTGACGTTTGGACAGACAAAATTAAAACTGACATTGTCAGAGCAACCCAAAGCGAACCTTTCTGGATATTTCTCTATTGTTTTACTCCAGATTCACGAATTTATGATTTTCACTTGTTGAAACATTTAACAGCGTTGCCATAAACATGTTGGCAGTGTCTCCTGATGTCCTATTTCACACCATTATTTGGCCATCTTGAACAAAACGGACCCAGTCAGCTTTTGGTATTTCGACTAGGCTATATGCTTCAGGTGGGCTTCACAGGTAAAATGGAGCCACCATGTCAGGTCGGGTTTCTTTACCTTAATGATACTGCTCCGGCGAGGTGCTGCCTTCACCGAATCCAGGAGGATGGTCTCGGTGTCCTGGCCGCCACCAGGGAGGATGACACCGCTCCGCCGGCCACGGGACGCTCTCGGCGGGACGCACTCCGGCGCGCCGTCGCTGCACAGCCCGTCTCCATATCCATCACGCTCAGACATGTCGTTGAGAAGGAGGGCTCGATTTGAAACGCCGTGGAGAAGGGAAATTAATTAAGTCGTCGGATCTGACCCGAATAAGGTTTGACTTGGCGGCGCGCTGATGCCATTTAAAGGAGAAATGGGCTCTTGTTTTCCTAAAGCCTCAGCCGCTCAGCAGTTCACCAGTTCACCAGCAGCTGGAACACACCAGAGGAAACTTATCACCCCAATTCCGTTAATTATGAACAGATTCTCATAGTCACTGAGCACCAAGCCCTGCTGACTTCAGGCTTTTAGTCTGAGCTGCTCTCCACAGTCCATCCCCGCTCCGCTAAATGACTCACTGTTGGAATCAGAGCATCACACGCAGGTACAGTATATCGACTTGGATGAAAACTGGACTGGTGCGCTCCCCGGATGCGCGCAACAAGTCTTCAACGTGCCCAGTCTTGCTTGTCCTCGAGGTGGTGTAGGTTCAGTATGTGCACCAAAAAAAGCCTTGGTGCGTGACGAGAAACGATGAAAGCGAGGTGGTGTTGGAGGAAGAAAAATGTTTGAAAACAATCCGACCCGAAACCCAAGGCTACTCCTCTCCCCAACACACACCGATGTCAAAGTGCAGAAAAGAGCTGCTGTTTGCGTCAAGTAAAAAGGATCCGTTCATCTGTCACCGCGGAGCGCATTGCTCTGACTAAACACAGATACTACGTTCGCCTTGGCTGTACTCAGAGCAACAACAGCCGACTTTTGACGAGAATAGGGAACACAATTGACAGTAGCACCGCCTCTCGCCCGCCACCTCTCCCTTCATCCTTCCACCCTGCTCCTCCCACATGCCGCCCGAACTCATGATTGATGTGCGGGATGGCCAATGCGCTCGGCCGCTGGGAGATTTGGACGCAGTTAGAGGCCCTGATAGGTCAAGTCTCAAGTCCCATAGATGGAGACAGCCTCCCTATGAAATTGACCAGGGACCAGGCACTGGGAGCACTGGAGGGTGGTCAGGTATGGTTTAAACGTCAGGGAACATGAGCACTAAATAGATATTTGATTCAGAGTTTTAGTCTGAAATAGTTTTTGGCTCTTTTCATCATTAGCCTACTTCTTTAAAATGATATCAGATTCAGCTTTATGTAAGTGTGTTTATGTCTAGTCAAAGATACAGGCTACAGCTAAAACTAGGACAACAAAGCGAAACAAAAAACTATTATGTGCATAGAAGGTGAAAAACAGTCACCTTAAAAATCTTTTATTTAAAATTAGTCAATCACCTATTTTTATAATCAAAGTTTTCAAGTTGGGCAGGATGGTGGTGCAGTGGTTAGCACTGTCACCTCACAGCAAGAAGGTCGTGGGTTCAAATCCTGGTTGCGCCGGCCTTTCTGTGCAGCATTTGCATGTTCTCCCCGTGTCTGCATAGATTCTCTCCAGGTTCACTGTCCAAAGACACGCAGACTAGGTTAATTTAGGTGACCCTAAATTGTCCTTATGCGTGAATGGTTGTTTCTCTATGTTTGGCCCTGCCTTTCGCACGATGTCAGCTGGGATTGGCTCCAGCCCCCCGCGACCCTGTACGCAGGATAAGCAGTTGACGATCGATGAAAGCTTTCAAGCAAAAATGCCAAATATTGTGATGGTTCGAGCTTCTCATACATTTGGATTTGCTGCGTTTTCTTGTTCTTACATTCCAGTAAACTGAAAATCTTTAGGTTTTTGTTGGTTGAATGAAAACAATAATTTGAAAACTGACTAAACACCTTGGGCTTGAAAAAGTTTCTGGAATTTTCACTTTTTTCTGCTGTTTAATCGATAATGAAAATAATCAAATATGAAGTTATATCTTAAATAAAAGTTTTAAAAAACAACACTGTCTAGCTACTGCTGGTACATTTTAATGTGAGACGTCAACACAACCCTCAACAGATAAATGGAGGAGCATCGCAACCTTTACAGTACTGACATTATTATATTATATAGAGTGAAACAAAGCATCAGACTTTTCAAGGACAGCGTGGCTTCAAAGAAACACAAAGCCAGACTGTTTTCCTTGTTGTGAGACTGTGGATCCATGTGATATCTGAGGTGTTTGTTCCCAGTGACAGCCAGACCAGTAAAGATTGGTAGGTTTGGTAGACTGTGTAGAGGTATAATAAAAGACTGATACATTATTCATTGCCGTGGCAAAATTGCCTTTTCTTTCTTGGGCCCCTTCCAGGGAGGTCAGAGATCAGGGTCACGGCAACAGGGCTGTAAGGGATTTAATGTTTTGCTCAAGGACATATCAGCAGGGTGGATTGTTGCACACACAGAACCCTGGTTGTCTTACAGGCTCTTTAATACGATTCCCAATCAACTGGTTGGCCTACTTCTAAAGTTGTAAGGGAGTGCATGGAGAAGCTCAGCTGTTGAAAATAATTATATAGGCCTGCTATACAGCCAAAAAAAGGGGGTAAAGACCAGGACGCAAAGCTAAAAAAGACATGAGCTCCCCTAAAAACATGATTTGTGAAATTTGCATGAGGGTGATTTCTCATGCATACTATTCTTGTCATCACCATTGAAGCTTGGCAGTGCATTATCATAAACATCACTCACTGTAACTCAAAGATCAGGGGAAAAAACAACTTTCTTAGTCCCGCTCAATCTGCACACCGAATCACCATAATTAATTGAAGACATAGCACCAGGCAGGATACACCTTCCCACCTCATCTGAGTGTGAGAGGGAGGTTTCTGCCGTTAATGATACTGACAGCCAGGCACGCAATAGGTTGCATGGAAACAGCCACACATCGCTCATTTTTATGGATCTTAATGGACCCCCTTTGGCAAGTTCAAGCTCTACTTTTTTTATCATCTCCACTTTCCATTCCAGCAGGAATGTTTGCCATCTTAGTTTAGTAGTGTACTCCCATGCTAACATTTGCTAATTACAAGTTTTGCAGGTCATAAACAAAGTAGACTATTTGAAATTTTTACGTGATGCTGGTGCTAGATGAAAAGTCAGAGGATCACCAAATATGGGAATTCATCCTGAGGGGAAAATGAATGTCTGAACCAAATTTCCATAGTTGATATTTCAGTCTGTGGTTGGCCAAAGAATGACACTGTCGTCCCTCGAGCACTGTAGATAAAACAACTCTAACATTACCTACTTTTATATTGTGTTAAAAAACATCCAGTTTAATATCAACTCGTGTGGAGCATGAAGAGTAGTGCAGATGAAGAAGTAGGGCTGTGGGGGGAACCACTGCTCTAATTGACCATCATGCAGAACAAATTGTAAAAATCAAAGTTCTTCAAAAATACTTTTTATCCCCATTTGAAGTAATCGACTTTTATCATCACAAGGCCAAGATGAAGGCTAGGTACGTATCAAAAAAAGCGTACATCCTGAATCCCAAATGAACTGAGCACCCCTTTCATATAGTGGAAACTCTTTGAAGGAAGTTGAGACTCGCTGAATACCCTGAATTATTTTTTAAAGGTGTTCCCGACTTGGCAGATATGAGGGCGGCATGAATGTGTGTGCATGCGCGTGTGTGTGTGTGTGTGTGTGTGTGTGTGTGTGTGTGTGTGTGTGTGTGTGTGTGTGTGTGTGTGTGGACCTTGAGCCACACAGCTGTGGAATGTGGTCAGCTGGTGAGGCCTATTAGTGCATGAAGCCCACCAGTAGCACCTCACTGTTAGTATTTGTGGGACCGGTGTTCATTCGTGGAAAGAAAGTATTTGCCATGTTTGTATTTTCTCATAAAGACAGAGAAGCAAAAATAACATTTTGTACCACCCCCCCAAACCCATACCACAGACTACACAGTAAATGCAACATATGACATAGCCACCATGACACCACCCACTGGTTTGTGGACTACTGTTTTGAAGTCTCGAGTTTGGCATTTTGGCCATTGTCATCTTGTTTTTTTGGAACCAGAAGTGACCATCTGTTATTCACCCAGGGTGGCATTAGCTAAATCCAGGGGACTTGACTTGGGAACCGAATGCCGCCGGTTTTGAGCCGGCACTGACCCCTGCCAAAGGTGTCCGTGAGTAAGGCCCAGACTGCTCCCCGGGTGCAGCACAATGGCTGCCCACTGCTCCTAATTAGGATGAATTAATGGCAGAGCCAGATAATTTAACAAATTTCCCCTTGGGGATGAATAAGGACAAAAAAATTATAATTCATATTAATTGGGATGCTAAGTGAGAGTCAGCACTTCTGCCTTAGCTTCACTTTTCAGACCCAGAGGTTGCCGCTTGGCTAATTCTCTTTCTTGCCAAGATGAGAAGATCAATACTGCTCTCATGCCTGTACAGTAAATATGAAGCTTAGTTTAATATACAACATTCGATCTTCTCATCCAACTCTCTGCAAAAGCGAATAAACACATGCTACAAAATGACCACACACACTTAAGACTGGTCAGTTATAACTCAGCATTCTGGAGTTTTATGCTGTAGATGTTGGATTAGAGCAGCTTGTTGCCTCCTTTCCAACTTTCTTTTTAGGTAAAAGTGGCGTTTCATGTTTGATCCTTGAAATGCATGATGGTGCAAAAGCTGTTGTACCACATTTCACTTTATCATGGAGCTATTTATACACAGAGAGATAAAGTAGAATTACAGCTGAAATAGTATTGGATACTCTGATCATGTAAATAAATGGCTTCATCAGCATTTATTGACAAAGATGATAATCTTTGCACAAATGAACTAAAAACCCACACCATCTGCCTCTGCCTGTGTTCCCGTCATGCCGCTTTGCATGCCAACACCATACCGTCTGATCATTATCCCACCTCACTCTGCCCTTTTTCACTATGTGCGGCTGCTGTCTGATTGTTCATCGCTTCACAATTGGTGGTAAAGGAATTAACAAATGTGCTAACATATGATCATATTATCTCCTTTAAGGTGTGACAGACTGCGTTTGCACATCAAATCTCTAAAAAGGAAGACACCTGTAGCACAATGCTAACGCTCACGGAGCCAGTTCAGTGAAAGGAATAACTGCAAGTCACACCCATAATTCAAATAGTTCATATTGCTTTTAAATCCTTGATTATTGGTTGTTATTGTCGTTTATTGTCATCAGTGTATTCCATGCGACCTGTGTGTTAATGCCTGCAAAGCAAATTTCCTTCAGGATGATAATACAGTTGAAGTTGCTTCCATTTGAAACGGAAAAACCTTCAGCTTCATGTTTACGTCTTAAAGAATGTGAGATTTATTCCGGGCTTATCGTTGACATTTAAATGCCAGTTCACTCAGCTTTGCTGCCACATGACAAAAGGCTTTGAGATGAGGTGACAGTTAAATAAAAGAGCTGCCTAAACTTGAAAAAAATAAGAATAGTTTTAAATCCCAAGCAGAAAATCAGCACAGGGTGAAAGAGGAATGTGGCCACGTCTCCAAGAGTCCCCCTGCTGAAACTCGTGCCTTCATGCTACGCTGCCACCCTGGTGTGAGTAAGTCACAGCAAAGGCCTTTCGGAGGTCCAGTGCCGTGTGTGTGTGTGTGTGTGTGTGTGTGTGTGTGTGTGTGTGTGTGTGTGTGTGTGTGTGTGTGTGTGTGTGTGTGTACACGTGCGTGTGTGTGTGTGCAAATGCGTAAAATGTTCAGTGTGGTCAGTAGACAGGTGCATGGTGTTCTCTGTGGGGTTTGTCCGCTCGTCTCTTCAGGACCTTGAAAAGAAACAAACCCTAAAGCAGAGGAACAGGTCATCCGATTCTACAGACTCCTTTTCTGTGTCATGTAAACATTGTCGTTGAATTTATATTCTCCC